AATCAGGAGACGCGGTAGTGTCTCCGGCCATGTTCAAACCCTAAAAGACCTTAAAAGACACTACAAGTCTCCTTATCCTGCACCATCAAAGTCCATTTTTTGGGGGTGTAGAACTACTAAAATATAAAAAATTTTGAATTGCACGTAATAACCTGAAAGGCGGCATCGCCACGAGTAATTTGAGCCAAGAAAAAATAAAATCGGTCAAGCCGTTCTGGAGATACAAGCGGTCAAAAAGTGACGTTTTTCATGAAAAATGAAGTAACGTCGTCTTCTTCTTCTTTCTTCTTCTTCTTCTTCTTCTTCTCTTCTCTCTCTTCTCTGTCCGCGTATAAATCTCTTCTCACCTTTCACTCACACCTCCCTCAACTTCCACCCACCCCTTTCCCTCCCACATCCCGCCCCCACCCCACCCCACCCACCCCCAACCCCAACCCCTCCCACCCCCACTCCACCCCTCTTTGCCTCTTTCACCCTTTTTCGTCCTCTCTCTCTCACCCTCTTTCGTCCTCTCTCACCCTCTTTCACCTCTTTCGCCCTCTCTCACCCTCTTTCGTCCTCTTTCACTCTCTTTCATTCTCTCTCACCCTCTTTCACCCTCTTTCATTCCCTCTCACCCCCTTTCGTCCTCTTTCACCCTCTTTCGTCCTCTTTCACCCTCTTTCTCACCCTCTTTCGTCCTCTTTCACCCTCTTTCGTCCCTCCTCACCCTCTTTCGTCCTCTCTCACCCTCTTTCACCTCTTTCGTCCTCTTTCACCCTCTTTCATTCCCTCTCACCCTCTTTCGTCCTCTTCACCCTCACCCTCTTTCATTCTCTCTCACCCACCCTCTTTCGTCCTCTCCTCACCCTCTTTCATTCTCTCTCACCCTCTTTCGTCTTCTTTCACCCTCTTTCATTCCCTCTCACCCTCTTTCGTCCTCTTTCACACCTCTTTCGTCTCTTTCACTCTCTTTCGTCCTCTCTCACCCTCTTTCATTCTTCTCACCCTCTTTCGCCCTCTCTCATCCTCTTTCGACCTCTTTCACACTCTTTCGTCCTCTCTCACCCTCTTTCGTCCTCTTTCACCCTCTTTCGTTCTCTCTCACCCTCTTTCGACCTCTTTCGTCCTCTTTCACCCTCTTTCGTCCTCTCTCACCCTCTCTCTCCTCTTTCACCCCTCGTACGTCCTTTCTCACCCTCTTTCGTTCTCTTTCACCCTCTTTCGCCTATC